TGGAGTTACCTTCACGAATAGAATCCATATCACTAGTCACACAAAATCACACTCCTGTAGTTTTGATAAAAACAAAGAGTGACCTGCTCTGATACCAATTGAAAATCCTAAGTGATTCGTGATTAGATCAAGAATAAAATATGTTAATTCCCAATTATTCAAAACACACAATCTAAATCATCAAGCACTTACGAAAGTCTGATCTAGCTTGAGGTTGTAAATAAACAATAAATCGACACAAACGATTTTTATGTGGAAAAACCACAATTGAAGAACCTTCAATTGTAATAAAAAACCACGGGCGAAATGCCACTAATCAATCCACTACTGAAGAAAGAAAGATTACAAAGATTACAAACAAATTACCTAACTCAGTCAATTTGTCTTCAAACCTTCTGTAACTCTTTCACCAAGCCTTCGTCTCAGAACTGATTAATCTGAAGTTGAATCCACAACTTCTTTTGTCGAATAAATGACTACGTACAGAATCAAACTTCTTTGAAACTCCACGTTTGAATCTTTAGAATCCACCGAAGAATAACACTCTTGTATGTATTCAATCAATCTCCTTGATATGTGCTTGTTAATTCATGAGTTTAATACTCACTCAATTTATCAAGGAAAACTCACAAAAATACTCCAGAAGAAAACCTTAGAAAACCTCAAAGTAGATCTGAAAACTTAATCCTAGTTTTGGAGTAAAACAACTACTTATAGAAATCCTGGATTTTGAGGCTCGCTCGAGCGAAGCTTCTCTCGCTCGAGCGAGAACCTTAACTCGCGTGATTTCCATAAGTGTCTTCGCTCGAGCCACGAAACCTTCGCTCGAGCGAACAATAAACTCTTTCAGGTTATTATGCAGACGCAGTCCTTCGCTTGAGCGAGGACTCCTTCGCTCGAACGAGGAAGAAAAAACAATAAGGAAATTTTACAACTCAATCACACAAGTTGTTCGCGGGATTGACAAGACTAAGGGACCTAACAACTACCATAATTCTCACAACAAAATATTTATGGATTACCAAATTAGTAGATCAAAAAGACCACATAATTAGCAAAAAGGGGTAAAAAATTTACAAACAAAGAAGAGTAACTACAAGAATAGATTCAAAAGAATAATAAAAAACTACTATTAAAAAAAAAAAAAAAAAGGGCAATTGTCCACAAAAGCAAAATTAAATTCTGCACAAAAGCATCCAAATTTGACACAGACTATATAATTCGGATAGTAAAGGCTTTGGGTTGACAATTCACCCTTTGTTGTTCTAACTTCTCTAATGTCGCCACATCAACACGCTCAATTTCTATAGTCAACACTCCACATCTACCCACCAAAAAAATGCGGGGGTGTTGATTGATTTTTACCATGATTTGAAGGTGTTGTTGATTTTTGGTGATAGGTTTTTTGGGATTTTAAGTTGTGGGCTGTGAGACTTTCGTTGGTGTTGGTGTTGGTGTTGGTGGTGGGATTAGGGGGTGAGGTTGTGTAATGATGTTGGGGCTTGGGCGGTTATGGTGCTGATCTATGAAGCACAGATACTTCAAATAAGAAAACGTATCCGTATAGTATCGTATCCGTATCAGATATCGATACTCCTTGGATACTTATGGATACATATCAGATACTTATTAAAAGTATCGGATGCTTCTTAATTAATTTTTCATTAATTTTGAAGTATCGTATACTTAGTTTTGAAGTATCGGATGCTCCAAGTCACATATTATTGGATACTTCTTAATTAATTTTGAAGTATCAAATGCTCCAAGTCACATATTACTCCTTTAACGAAATTAGAATTGTATCATTTCTTGCATAACATCATAATATAATATAATTGCGAGGATAAATAGAATATTTTTACAATACTTTGCTTAGGTTTTTTTTTTTGTAAAAATATCATAATAAGCTAAAGTAATAGAATTCATCAAATTGACACATCTTCATTGTATCATGCATGTCCCCTATAGCTACATAGAAGTATAGATTAATAAGGTAATATAACAATAGTAAAATTAAATATCAATAAATAAATAAGCCAATAAACTTGCATAGAATATTTTTGACTAGTGCAAAAGGAAAAACACATAGGGTCAAGTTATGGATTGTTTTGATATTATCAACATATTAGACTTGATATTGAAATGAAATATTTGCAAGACCTATTGAAAATTTAAAAACTAAACTAGCTACTGCCTTAAATTAATACATAATTCTTAAAGATTAGTTTTTTGTATCATAAAGTTACTGTGGTTTCTCAACATTCTTGAGCTTATGTGTAACTCACTACTAATAATTTATTTATTTTTTATTGTTTACAAACGTATCTTAGTCGTACCCGTATCTTACTTTTTTAGGTTTTGCTGTATCGCCGTATCCGTATCATATCGTATTCGTACCTCGTATCCGTATCCGTGATGCCTAGGTGCTGATGGGGCTTGGGATTGGTTGGTGCTGTGGTTTGGGGCTAGTAGTAATGGTGTTTTTGAGGGTGCAGTGGTGCTACTTTTTGTGCCAGGTGAAAGCAGAGTTAAAGTGAAGAAGATAGCGTTACAAATGTTTACAGCAAGGTCTTGTCAATTTTTGGCTTTCTACACTAAAATTAAATAAATAGATGACGGTAAAAATGTAAAAATACATTTTCTATTAACAGAGTTCGTCAAATGTGACTGACCAGGGAGGTTATTGTTATTTTAGAAACCTAGAGGAAGGTCTTTGTAATTGTCATAAACCTTAGGGGAGGTTAGTGTAATTTACCTAATTTTTTTTTAGCATTTGCCAATTTTTTTTTATTTTTATTTATTTAGAAACAATTGTATCATAAAAAAGGTAAAAAAATCAAAAATGATAATAAATGACTTCAATATAGCACCAGAATTAGTTATAAATTAGGATGGAAATACCAGACAGATAGATCTTTGGGCCAATGAGCTGAAGGTAGCTTCCAACATAGACCCTACACATGAATTACAAATTTAAGCGATACATCTTATGTAAGATTTGAAAAGAAAAAAAAATGAATGATCATGACACAAAAAAGTAACAAAATTGAAAAATATATATATATATATATACTTACCAATACCACTAAAGTCTTCTTTGCAGTCTAGCCATATTCAATGCAGTTGTCACATAAAACCAATTTTTTATGCAATCCAAGAATTTGAAATAAGCATGTCTGATGGATTGTTAAAAATCATAATGCCCCAAAACTGCCCAAAATCCAAAGGTAAAACCAAGCCCCATGCTGACATAAAATCCAAAGGTAATAAACTTGTTCTCGTTGTCTTCTTCTTCAATCCTTTTGTCTTGCCATGAGATTTCACGACTATTTTGTCTCCTCGACACTTATTTGGAAGTGGAAGCTCATATAGTTCAGGATTCCCAGAATATGCAGAGGTATCAAAACTTTGCAATTGAGTGCTTGTTGAGATTTTTCTCAACAACTTGTTATCTGACAAATTCAACACACTGAGAAAATTTAAATGAGCAAGACTGGTAGGAATCGCGTTTAGAAAACTCATTTGCAGACAAGTCAAGAGATTCTTGAAAGTAGAAAAAATTCCTCTAAACAGAAGTCTCACACAGAAGCCATATTTCACACAACAAGTAGGTCACGAGTAAATAATCATGCCCAATAATTTACAAAATTAACTAGACTTGTAATAAAACAAACATTTGATAGCAAAAATAGATTGCAATCCTTCCAAACACACAATCCACAATATAATTACACATGAAAATAAATATTTATGAAGTTGTTTTATCGTTTCAAGAAATACGTAAAGGGCCTAGTAATAGTTGGTTCTGATGGCTCCGAACTCGATGCTCTTGTCTCTTTCAAGTGTAGCCTAGCTTCCTTGGAAAACATAGCAAAAAAATGGAAACAACAAAAAAAACAACAATGTGATTATCGGTTAAATTAAAGCCAACTGACTTTTGCCAATCAAAAAAAAAAAAAAAAAACTGACTATTGGGCAGCCATCAATATAGTTTATAAACAGAGGATTAAGTCATATCATCCCATAAATATGGCACAACTTTAGTGCTTTTTTTTATGTTTACAATGGCAGAGCACATCATCATCACTGCTATTTCAAGATCAGTTTTGCAAAATTATAGTATGAGTGAATGACTTCTGTAAGAAAAGGAAAAAAATTGTATGGAGGAATAGAAGTTTGACACAATTAAACAGAAACGGATCAGAAGGTAAAGCTAATTTTTGGATCATTTTATTTATGAATGACAACTAAACAGATAATGGATGCCAAGCAATTGCTTGGTTAAAAATTAGAGTGGCAATATAAATTACCATATAGATAGATCTTGGCAGAAATGAGCTAAAGATAGCTTGCAAAATAGACCTGCACATGTGTAAGGACAATTATAAAATAGACCTAAGTAAAACCACAAGCTTAAGCAAATAGAAAGTGTACTATGCTTAAGTCAGCTTATGTAGGATTTCAAATAAAATAAAATAAAATAAAAAATGTCTAATTGTTAGCAATGATCAAGACACAAAAAGATAAGAGGAGTAACAAAATTGAAAAAAGATACTCACCGTTTACCTCTGAAGCCTCCTTCGCAATCTAGCCATACTCAGTGCAGTTATCACATAAAACCAATTCTTTATGCAGTCCAAGAACTTGAAATAAGCATGTCTAGATGGTTTGTTAAAAATCATAGTGCCAAAAACTGTCCAAAATCCAAAGGTGAGACCCAGCCCCATACTAACATAAAATCCAATGGTAATAAACTTGTCATCGTCTTCTTGAATCATTTTGTCTTTGCCATGAACAAGAACAAGAGGTTCCAAAACTATTTCTTTTCCCGGACACTTTGGAAGTGGAAGTTCACAAAGTTCAGGGTTTCCTGAATATACAAAGGGATCAAAGCTTTACAATTGAGTACTTATCGGGATTTTTCCTGACAGCCTATTATTTGACAAATTCAACACACTGAGAAAATTTAGATCAGCGAGGCCGACAAGAATCGCGCCAGAAAGCTCATTTGTAGACAAGTCAAGAGATTCCAACATTTTCATCTGACCAACTTCTTGGATGATATTTCCTGTCAAATTGTTTCTTGATAGGTTCAACAAAACCAACCCTGCAAGACTCCCAACTTGTTTAGGAATTTTCCCAGCTAAGTTATTGCCAGAAAGATCAATGCTTTTTAATAGTCCCAAAGTATTTTTGTATTCTGACTCTTGTCCTTTCCACAACACCAATACATCCTCAATATAGCCGTGAGTTGCAGTAACAAGGCCATGAAATGTCGAATAATAAGAAGAAATGGTTACACTAGAACTCTTACTTTCCACCAAGGCAGTAAAATTGTGAAAACAGTGTGGTATATTTCCTGATAAACGATTATGGGAGAAGTCCACAATTTGAATTTGGTTAAGGTGGCATATACGTCGAGGTATGCTTCCCTTGAACTCATTGAATCGTAGACTAAGAACAATTAAACTTGTTAGGTGTGCCCCTATCCATGTTGGTATTTTTCCTGTGAGTTTGTTTCCTCCCAAATCAATCATTATTAAATTTGTGCATCTCTTTAATGAAGAAGCAATTTCCCTAGAGAAATTGTTGTTGCGCAAGTGCAAAGTTTGAATCTGGCCTAGGGAACCCATTGAACTCGGAATTTTCCCAGACAAATTATTGTGCGCCAAATTAATGATGGATAGTGCTTTGAGGTGCACCCAACACCTCGGAAGTTCTCCTGATAGTGAGTTATTTGAGAGGTCAAGATAGGTGAGATTTGTACCCCTAATTGCACATAAGAAAGAAAGTGAACCCGAGAACTTATTTTTGGAGAGATTCATAAGTGTTACATTAGGAGGAGCTAGTGGTATTGGACCCGAAAAATGATTTGAACCTAAATGCATATCAAGATAACCCTGATACTTCAATGATAGATCAGGCAACAAACCTTTGATTAGATTGTTAGAGAGATTTAAAAGTCTTAAACCTGGAGATAGATCCCAAAACCAACTAGGAACATTATCTGAAATTCCGTTACTTGAGATATCAAGCTCAGAGAAGTTCCTTTGCGTTTGAAGCCATTTTGGAAAATGAGGCCCCAACTTACAAGATGATAAATATATGATATCAAGTTGGAAAGGAGGAACCCAGTCAGAACTGAAATTAAAAGTTAATAATGTGTTTGAAGAAAATGACAAATACTTTCAGACTGTACATATTAGAAAAGTGAATTTCAGAGAGTACGACTTTTAATGAATTGAAAGAGACACGGAAACGCTCAAGCTTGGAAAGTTGTCCAATATTTCTGTGTATAGTAACCATTCAATTGATTGTCTCTAAGGTCTAACTCCATCAATGATGGAAACATTGAAAGGTCAGGCAGTGACCCTGTAATTTGGTTTCCATTCAACTCAAGAGAAACAAGACTAGGAAGTTGTCTAAAAATTTCTGGAATGGAGCCACTCAATTGATTATAGCCAGCAGACAATTCTATTAAGGAAGAAAATCTTGTAAAATCAGGCAATGAACCACTAAGTCGACTGTAACCCACATACAAAACCTCTAATGAGTCCTCTGCCCCAGACAACTTTTGAAGGAATTGATGAAGTTCTTCAGTCAAATTGTTTTTGTGCAGATCTAGAGATCGTAAACGAGTTAAATTTGCAAAGGATTTTGGAAGGGCACCTTCAAGATGATTGTGATGAAGACTGAGATTTGTGAGGGAAATCATGCCTCCAAAAGAATTAGGAATCGGACCTTTTAACTGGTTTCTAGAAAGGTCAACATTAATAAGGCTACTACTAAAGTTGAACAACCAACTGTATATTGAAGAAGATAGATTATTTCGAGAAAGATCAAGTATAGAAAGAGACGCAGAAGAATTAAAAGGAAGTGGGGGATGAGTAGTGATAGCAGGAAGTGTACAAGAAGATAACCTTAACTCTTTTAGGAGAGGAAGATTATTGATAGATTGGACCCAGTCGGTTGCTTTACTGAGGTTAACATTAGTAAGGTCCAAATGACTTAATAAGGAAAGATGAGAAAGCCACTCAAGATTTTCACACTTTAGATGATAATTGCCGCTAAGATTAAGATGATGCAAGTTAGAAAGGTTCCTCAACTTTATGATGTCGTCACTAAAATTATTTTCATTGAGATCCAAATACTTCAAATGCTGCAATTCGAGCAATGAAGGACTAATCTGACCTCTCAGTTGTTGATAATCATGGGAAGAATGAAGATCGATTATGGTGACATGACCAGTGTGGTTGTTGCACCCAACTCCACTCCATTTGCAACAATCTTTTTTATCTTCATCACTCCCCCAAGATGAGAGACGACCATAATCATCTATAAGAGCATCTTTAAACTTGAGGAGAGCTTGTCTCTCTCTCTCTATGCATTTGGTTTTAGCATCTTCTTCAGCTCTTAAGGAGAGTCCAAGAGCCGATTTTGTGAATAGTAAAAACATAACGACGACAAACACATGGAGAAATTGACGAAAATTTTCAACCATCATCATTTTCATGAACATGATCATGATGATGTAGCAAAAATTAATATCAAGATGAAGTAGCAAATACACCAAGAAATAAGGATTTGCAATTTTTGGTTTTCTGAGTTTTATTAACTACAGAATGGCGACCTTTTATATTGAAGATGCACCACAAGTTTTCGAAACTGTTCCTAGAATAAGACTTGGAAGTCAACGGAACATGCCAATAATTGTCAACTCATTCAAGGCTTTTTTTTTCAGATATTTAAATCTCTAGAAACACAAACAATTCTTATTCATCTTCATTATTCATAAATTATATTTTTTTATAGGAGTTTCACGTGTGCACCCACCGCTAGAATGGGCATTGTGTTAGCTCAATTTGTGTGATAAGATTAAATAAGAAAACAAATGGGTCATTTTTATTCATAAATCTCTTTTTACTCATGTTTCACTTAATCTAAATTATTTTCTTATCTTCTAATAAATCATATGGTTGACATAGTTATTAAAATACACATAATAATAATAGTGTGCAATGCGCATTAATGTTCACATTGACAGAGTGACTGTGACATGATGTGAACATTTATACTGTCAAATTTATTTAATGTGAATGTTCACATTACCAAGTTGGTAAGGGTTTAAAAAGTATTTGTAATGATAAAATTGTCCACAAAATACCTTAAATATGAGAATTAAGATTTGGTGGATCAAATGTCCAAAACAATAGGACTTATTAGAATATAAGAATATTTTATGGACTAATTGAAATACAAGTATTTAAAATAGGATTTTCTAATAAATTTCCCAACACAAGGCAAATTAATCCCTCAAAAATTAAATCCTGAGAGGTTGGGACATGAATCTTAAGGAAGGTAATTTCTCAATTTTGCCTCCAATAGAAAATTCCGGAATATGTTATCCTAACTCCTACCCTCCAACTAGGGCTACAAATGAATCGAGTTGCTCGCGAGTAGGATCGGCTTGGCTCGGCTCGGCTTAGCTCATTACGAGTTTGGCTCGGTCCGACTCGTTTAATAAACGAGCTGAGCTCGAGCTCAAATAAGCTCGGCTCATTTATCTTTGTTTAAATAATACAGAAATAATATTTTTCTATTTAAATAATATACAAAAATCTTAATGAGCCGAACTCGAGACTATATAGTTAGTTATTAGCTGAGCTCGAACTCAATAAACGAGCTTGATAAGCAAACGAGCCGAGCTCAAACTTAGCAAAGCTCGGCTTGGCTCATTTGTAACCCTACCTCCAAGTAGGTGGGATATAAGCGCGATTCTGAATTACTTATACTAGTAACCATTTGTGTAAACAAACAAGGGATAAGACCAATGTTTTCCTATCCCGACCCGTTATCCGTAGTTCTTTCTTGTTGGGGTTTTGGATAATCCAAGTTCTTTATGTTGGATTTCTCTCAATTCTTTTGTAAAATTACTCTCTATTCTTGGTAAATAACACTTTGCTTGACGCAAAAAAAAAAAAAAAATTCTCAATTATGTTTCATTGTAAATTTTAAAATTGAAAATTCTCAAACTTGTGAAAGTCAGCTTGAATGATAAAACCTCATGTAACCAATTAGGAGGCCTTAAATTTGAATCTTTTTCGCCTGATATGTGAACCTAGTGGGTGATTGTACATTTCCAGAATTTACCTCGTCTCACTTAAGGTAGTGTCACGGATTTCTCATTAACAATACAATAATGCTACAATTATCTTATTTTAAAACTATATTATATGCTTATAATCTTATTTGTAAATATAATATTTAGTGTAATGGATCCACCATTCACGTATATCTTCAATATATTACTGACAACTAAACTGACATATAAGACGGTCCGATAACATAATAGAAATAGGATAGATAGTTATTGTAATGTTACTTCTCCAAAAAAATAAATAAAAATGAAAAATTCTCAAAACCCATGCCGGTGTGTTTGGTAACGTTTACGTTTTCAGTTTATATTTACAAAAATTTTATAAACTGGTTTTTGTTTATTTTTTGAAAAACATAAACTACGGGGGGGGGGGGGGGGGGGGGGGGGGGGGGGGGGGGGGGGGGGGGGGGGGGGGGGGGGGGGGGGGGGGGGGGGGGGGGGGGGGGGGGGGGGGGGGGGGGGGGGGGGGGGGGGGGGGGGGGGGGGGGGGGGGGGGGGGGGGGGGGGGGGGGGGGGGGGGGGGGGGGGGGGGGGGGGGGGGGGGGGGGGGGGGGGGGGGGGGGGGGGGGGGGGGGGGGGGGGGGGGGGGGGGGGGGGGGGGGGGGGGGGGGGGGGGGGGGGGGGGGGGGGGGGGGGGGGGGGGGGGGGGGGGGGGGGGGGGGGGGGGGGGGGGGGGGGGGGGGGGGGGGGGGGGGGGGGGGGGGGGGGGGGGGGGGGGGGGGGGGGGGGGGGGGGGGGGGGGGGGGGGGGGGGGGGGGGGGGGGGGGGGGGGGGGGGGGGGGGGGGGGGGGGGGGGGGGGGGGGGGGGGGGGGGGGGGGGGGGGGGGGGGGGGGGGGGGGGGGGGGGGGGGGGGGGGGGGGGGGGGGGGGGGGGGGGGGGGGGGGGGGGGGGGGGGGGGGGGGGGGGGGGGGGGGGGGGGGGGGGGGGGGGGGGGGGGGGGGGGGGGGGGGGGGGGGGGGGGGGGGGGGGGGGGGGGGGGGGGGGCGGGGGATGGTGGTGGTGGTGGTGATGGGTGGCGGGTGGTGGCGGCGAGTGGGTGGCAAGTGAGTGGTGGGTGGTGGTGGGAGGTGGGTGGTGAGTGGTGGTGGGGAGTGGATGGTGGGTGGTGGTGGCGGAAGATGGTGGTGGAAAATGATAGCGGGTGGTGGCTAGTGTTGGGTAGTAAAAAAAAAAAAAACTGAAAACAGAAACACATTTTTTGTGTTTTCTTTTTTTGGCCAAATTTATAAACTGAGACCACTGATTTATAAATCAAAAATTTTACCAAACAAGTTTTTATTTAAATTTTTTTAATTTTCATAAATATAAACAAAAAACTGAAAACGTAAGTGTTACCAAACGGCACACCTTCACCAACTATGACTCTTACCTTTCACCAAGCCCAATTTGTCCACTGGAAAATTCTACAGTATTAATGAAATGACAAAGACATATAAGAGGGCATCTATGACCATAATGCAAGTCAAGGTCATACTTGGCTATAACGCAACGTTGTGTCATCATCAATCACATTCAGTCAAAATCTTACTTTAAAATGTGTTTAATTGGCTAGTGGTATAGAAAATGACTTTTGGAAAATTTGTGAAAATTCTATCAAATTGAGGAAATGAATAGAGATGTCGTGAATATAATGTCGATGTGCACAATGCACTGATGACATAATAATGATATTCCTTACAACTAAAAAAAGTACAAATTAAGTATAATACGATGATAACACATCATTATCAACATGTAATATCACCTTAGAAATTTGGTGAAGTCCATGACTATGGTTAGGAATTTGGTTAAACTGTGTTATGGATTTGCTTAAGCTATGTTTTGGATTAGAATTTAAATAGAGATTTGATTATTGATCACACATATTAGAAGAGTGATATTGCAAATTGACTTAAATTGTAAAGAGCTGATTGTCATAATTGAAAGTAAAAAGATCACAATGAAATTATGATGATTGTATAGAGGTGCTAAGTGTAATTAATCCTAAAAAATAATCTCATGCATTTTCTTCTCTTGGAAAGTAAATCAATTTGCTCACAATAGACAACTCCAAAAGAAGCCATCTTCCATATAACGAACAAAGACTTCATATATATCAAAAAATAAAATAAATTATATTCATATAATAGGAAATCTTAGTACAAACTGTATCATTCGAATATAATTTTTTAAACAAAAGTCAAATATTCACATATAAATTTATAAATAAAAACAAATTATTCAATATACATTCCGTTCAACTGCATATATCATGACAATTGTTTTTTGTTCATAAGTTGAATTTTTTGTTCATAAGTTCATAAAAATAAAAATTGAATTTTTTTTATAATGACTTTCTATAAAGCCTCCTTTGTAGTCTAGCTATATTCAATGCAGTCGTCACATAGAACCAATTTTTTAGAAGGTCTAAGAACTTGAAATACGCATTATCTTGTTGGACTGTTCATAGTGCCAAGAATTGTCCAAAATCCAAGGATGAAGCCAAGTTCCTTGCTAACATAAAACCCTAAGGTAAAACAAATTTCAAGCATTTTCCTTTAATTAATTTCTTGAAAGTAAAACAAATTCTTGTGCGTTTGGAAATGGTTTAATATAACTAAAAAGGCGAAGAGCCATGAAAATAAATATTTATGAGGTTTACTAGACTCGTAATAAAACAAATAGCAAAAACAGATTGCAATCCATCCAAACACACAATCCACAATATAATTACACATGAAAATAAATATTTATGAAGTTATTTCATCATTTCAAGAAACACATTGATGGCCCAGTAGTTGGTGCTGATAGCTTCGAACTCGCTGCTCATGCCTCTCTCAGGTCCTTAGAAAACATAGAAAATTTTTTTAAAAAAAATTGTGATTATTAATTAAATTAAAGCCCACTAAATATTGACCAGCCATAAATATAGTTTATACACAGGATCAATTCAGTATCATTGCATAAATATGGCACAACTTTAGTGCATTTGTTAGGTTTGCAATGGCAGAGCACATCATCATCACTGTTAGTTATTACAATATTAGCTTTGCAAAATTATAGTAGGAGTAAATGACTTCTAGAAGAAAAAGAAAAAATTGCATATAGGAAAGTTAGAGCTAATTTTTGGATCATTTTATATATCAATGACAACTAAACATATAGTGGATGTCAAGCCATTGCTTGGTTAAAAATTAGGTTGGCAATAGAAGTTACCATATAGATAGATCTTGAGACCAATGAGCTGAAGATTGCTTGCAACATAGACCTGCATATGTATATTATAATTAGAAAATAGACCACCACAAGCTTAAGCAAATAGCAAGTGTGTGCTTAAATCAACTTATGTAGGATTTTAAGAAAATAAAATAAAATAAAAAATGTCTAACTTGTTAGCATTGATCAAGACACAAAAAGAGAAGTAACAAAATTGAAAAAAGATACGTA